GTAACCAAGAGGGCGTAGGTTCAACACCCAGTGCACTTTCTTTTTTTCATTATCCATATTTTCACCTTTTTTTGTCACAAACACACAGCACGCCTGTGCCTCCACATTGGGCCTTTTGTTCTTTTTGCTGGCTTCTAACTCCCTGCCTTATTTCAGCACCCCCTGGCCCAATTTTCATTATTATTTTCTTATTTTTATTTTATTTCTTTTTCCTTTATTATTATTATTATTATTATTATTATTATTATTATTATTATTATTATTATTATCATTATTAATATTATTTTTTATTTTTATTAATAAAAATCCAAAAATATTTTATTTATTATTTTTACACTTATTTAGTTTATTTGTTTTATAAAACTAAAAGAAAAAAAACATTTTCTTAATAAATTGATTTCTTTCTTAATAATTAATATTTAGGTTTAGGTTTAACTATTATATTATTTTCTTGCAATTAAAATTAATTTAGAACTTAGGTTTCTTTTAATTAATTAATATTCATATTATTTTTATTAATTTAAATTTTTTTCATAAATAAAATCCTAAAAAATCTTTTTTTAGCTAATTTCTTTTATTATTTAGTTTAAGTTAATTTTATTTAATTTTTATTAATCATTTTTCTTAATTAGGTTTAGGTTAAAACTTTTTCATGAAAACCAAACAAAAATCATATTTCTTTTCTTCATTTGCATTTGTACACTTTTATTCAATTCTTGTGAATTTATTCAATATGGTTGTAATAGTTAATTAGATTTAATTTTCTTACAATATCCATTTGTAAATTTGTACACCCCCTCTCCTATTGATGTAATAGCTTAGTATTTTTATTTTCCGCAATTTAATGCTTTATATATAAATGCTAGTAAATTAGGGTTTGTATGGAAATATTAAAATCAACAAATTAGCAAACCCTTATTCAAAGACGAAACAACGCATGTAAATCAATACACTTGCACACTTACACCGTTAGGATAAATCCACTTTGTTGTCTTATGAAAATGACCATATTATGCATGTAGGGTATCTTAGCAAAAGCAATCCAAAATACAAGATCATAGTCCCTCGATGACGCTATCAAAGTTGCCTTTCAAAAATGATCTTAGTCGCTTAAAGAAAATGCTAAGATATCTTACAACATTGCTAATCATGGCTATACGATGACCCATGTCCGTCCCTTTTACATCCAAAGATAAGGTTACTTACCAATCCATGGTAAAATAACAATGTCAAAGGAAAGAAGAAATAAACAAGATAGACTTTTGAGTAGGTAGAATGTTCTTAGTTGCTTGCTCAATTTCAAACCAAAACATCCTTGCTATTTTCAAAATAAACACCAACACTTTCAAAACATCTTTCAAACTTGAAACATTTTCAAAAGATCAATACTTTGTATACATTCTTACGAACGAGAATCATTACAAAGTTTTCCTAAACGATGGCCCCTTTTTAAAATACTTTCAAAAACCACACAAAGCACATTTTCGAACAAAAGTAAGTGATCTAGCAAGCAACTAAGAGCCCGTAGATAACTGCGGATGAAAAGGGTGCTAATACCTTCCATTTTCATAATCTACCCCCCGAAATCAAGAAATAATCTCAAAGGTCTTTCCTGTTCTTTTCAGTCTTTCCTTTTGGATAAAAGAAAAGTCGGTGGCGACTCTTGCTAACCGCAACATTTGTGATCAAACGCAAAACAACCAAGTCAGTTCTCCCACCGCGTTACAATACTATTTTCATATTTTGTGTTTCTCATAAAATGACATATTGCTTTAACTAAATCACATACTATGTTATATTATTATATATGTAGTACTTTGAGAAATTCAATTGTGCACATTACTCAAGAGATCAATTGGATGAACTTATGGAGGAATGGTGTAAATTCATTATCGGGTTGAGAATTTTATAAGCTAAGGTATAATATCTTATTTCCTTTGATGAGAACTTTCTAGTTTTGAGTATAAATTAAATTCGAATAAAGTGCAACATTAATATTATCATGTAATGAATTTCGATCATTTGTTTTCTTCTTCTAGGTTTATAGGTGCATGTGTAGAAGATAGAGCTAAGATATTCATGTTGTTGTTGTTTTATGAGAATTCTCGAAGATAGTAAGATGTAGATGTAACATCAATTTTGAATTATAGGATTTTCAACTTGTAGAATTTTAATTTGTATCATAAATTTTGTAGTTGTTGTTGTATATATCATCAATTTATATATATGTGGAATTTTTACATATGCATATTTTATTGGAATAAAGCTACCAAATATGGTGAAAACCTGATTCAAATATGGTTAAAATCCGATTAAAATGCATTATATATATTGGATAACGCTTTTGTAAGTCAAAATAGGTATTTTATTAATTTTTTTTTGTGATCAATAGACAATGCTTTAAGAGAAAAACGTTGTAAAAAGTAAAAAAAAGCGCTGCCTAAAGTGGAAAAGCGCTGTCTAATGTGGGAGAATAGACATCGCTTTTAAAGAAAAGCGTTGTCTAAAGCCTAACTTAAAAAATAACATAAAGCGCTGTCTAAAGGGGTATATAAAAAAGCGCTGTCTATTTTAAAAGCGTTGTCTAAAGGGGTGCTTAAGAAAGCGCTTTTAATGTAAAGTGGGCATAAAACAACGCTTTTACATTGAAAAAAAGCGATGTCTTTACTTTTAGCAGTGCTGCTTTAGACAACGCTTTTAAGCGCTGTTAAAAGCCAAAAAAAGCGCTGACACATATATGTACTGCCTATATCCAAACTGACACATATATCTGTCAAGTAAATATAGTACAACTGTCTTATACCATTTCAAGCCAACCCTATACAAACATATATTATCAAATGACGGTGCTGCCTATGATCCTTAAAAGACCGCCAAATGACATCAGCAGGTGTCAATGCATCCAACACATCCTTAACCTCATCAACCTTTTGTGCTCATTGCTTGTAAATCCATTTCATCGCCTTGGAAAGTGGACTATCGGTACCAGCAATCCTAGACAGCTCTCTTTTACCAACAGTTGAAAAATACTCTTGAATCCAACACTGTTACACAATATTGAATACTATCAATTAGAATAATTATATATAAATATAGACAAGTCAAAATAAAACATGTGTACCTGTACCAGACAGGCATATCCACTGAGCTGCTTGTACATATAGTATGAAGCATCTCTTAAATATTTGTAGAGTGTGACAAGGGTAGCTGCCCCTAACTATATTTAGCTCACCCACTCAAGCTCTTAAATAATGGTAAATGCTTTGCCTCTACAAGAGTAAAAGTTTTATCGGCAAGAATGGTACAACCTAACAACAACATATAGGTTCTAACAACACAGTCAAGTCTACTAGCAGATCGTTGACGCACAAATATCTCCTTCAACCAATCCAGCTTATAATAAGGACCCCTACAAGTACGAACCTCCTCAACTGCCTCCTCCAAGAGAACACCCAACAAATCAATAGCAAGTTTAACAATATCAATATAAATGAACCCTTCTGCAAGGTCCCAAAACTCATCCCTACGTGGTATATGAAGAAGACAACAAACATCGTCCAGTGTAATGATCATCTCGCCAAATGGAATATGAAAGGACCATGTTTCTGGATGTCGTCTTTCAACAAAGGCCAATACTAAATTTCGATCTATTCTAGATAAACTGGTGTGCTGGAGAGAGGATAAATCAGAGTTAGTCAACCACCTCTCTATCAACGATGGGAGACTATGTGGAATCCATCCGATCAATTTGCTACCATGTGCAGCAACCTTTAATTTTTTCTCTGTCTGTGTCTCCCAAAAATAATTTATAGTATATATGTTATAAAATATAAGTAATTACAACTAAAAATGATTTAACATAAAATGACAGAGATTATCTTACCTCGTCGAACCATAAATGGCGAGCAACATGACCCTAGTACCTCACCAGAAGAGACGTATCGAACGATTCTCTGGAGAACTCTGGCTGCTGCGGAACAGTCTCAGGTGCATCTATATGTCCCTCTCCTTCCACCGCATGTCGAAGTTGACGTCCTTTACCTCTTCGTCGTATAATGTCGTCGTTCCAGCCTCCTCTTCTGTGCACCATTAAAAAAAACACAACATGAAGTTATCCGAACAACCATAAAACACTGGATAACTTAGGCCATATTTATCAGGTTATAATTAATGTAAACCGGAGAACTTTATGCTAAGTTATATGGTTTGTAACTTATTTCGCATGCAAACCGAATAACTTGTAAGTTATTCAGCGTGTTATAAAGATGAATTGAAAGTCTTCAATCTTTGTTCTCCGGTTTGAGCTCTCTTGCTCCGGATTTTATTCTCTTAAAATGAAATGAGGAAAAAGTGAAATTCTTTTAAGGTCTAAATATTTATATAGAGATATTTTAATCCAAACTCATAATTTATAGGGAAAGAGAGATAATTGATGGAGTATAGGGTAAAATTTTCTATATTTCTTACACTTCTCGGTGCTAGTCGTTGGAGCTAAATTAAATGGAATCGGTGATGAGACGGAACATGCAATTTGTTTATGTGATGAGCCAGTTTTGAAGTTTCATATTAGCTAGGTTTTCTTGGATAACACTATACTTGAACTAAATGTACTACATAGCGAAACTCCATTTATGATGTTTAGTAAACCCATTTTAGGCTTTGAACCATTATGTTATGCCACATTTAGCGTTATGTTCAAAGTGGTGTAAATGAATGATCAATCCCGAAAGCATGAAAGACAATATTCTATGTAAGTGGTCATCACGATTTGTGATTTGCTTCATTTGGTTGACCAAAGCAAAGCCACTAAGATGATAATTATATCATTAGATGATGCCAACCACTACAGTTATAAGCCAAATACTAACCCCACAATTAGTATAGATATAGGTGACACTGAAAACGAGCTCTCCACTACTTTAATCATACGTTTTTTCAGTACTCCCGCGTATATATATGTTTGTGTTATGGCTATCTTGATTGCATTTATATTAATAGCTATGGAACATCAACAACAAAAGAGCAACGAAGGCAAACACAGAGAGAAACTCATAATGAAGAATAGGGCCAAGTTTGTTGGAGTAAGACAAAGGGCTTCAGGAAAATGGGCAGCAGAGATAAAAGACACGCAGAAGAACATTAGGATGTGGCTTGGTACATACAAAACTGCTGAAGAAGCTGCTCGTGCTTATGATGAAGCTGCATGTCTCCTCAGAGGTTCAAACACTCGTACAAACTTCTCTATTAGTCATTCCATTCCTACCAATTCTCCGATATCTCTTAAACTCAAAAAGCTCCTTCATCGCAATTCCATCTCAAATCAAACTCAAACTCAATGTCAAAACCAGTCCACTACGACGTGTTCTTCTTTTCAAGACGCACCTTTTGATAATAGCATCAAGGTAATGGAAAAGGAAAACAGCTCTTCATGGAGTAGTGAAGAATCAAAGTCTTTGTTTTGGGTTCAGAACCAAGATTCTGAATATAATCCTTATGGGGTAGATATGAATATGGTAAACTGTGAGTTGGGTGTTTCACCAAATACATTTGAGTTTGATTATACTTGGTGTTTTCCCCAACAAAGGATTAACGAGTTAACAACATCAAAAGATGATATGACTGTATATGGTTTGAATGAGTGCTATCTGGAGGACACGTACGAAGCTAAGTATGAATATGATGTCAATTGTCCTCTTTCGCACTTGTTGTGTTTCACTTGAGAGTTCTGAGTTATCATGCTTTGTAATATAGTGATAACATATTTGGTTGTTTTGATATACTTTGCAAGACTCATTTTGAAAAGAAAAAAAAAATACATACTCGACAAAAATAAAGATCTTATTTAATCATTGATAAAATTTAATCATTATTATTAGTTCTTTTATTAATATTTTTTTAATAATTTTTTTCTGTTTTTAGATTATGATTGAATTGTCATGTGTATTATTTATGCTACAAATATTTTTTAATAATAATGTGAATACACTCATGTTGGATTTTATTTTTCATTTTTTAAATATAAAATTGATTTTTATTTTTTAATTTTAATTTTATTTTTAAATAATTCTCATTTAAAAATATGAAAAAAACCAAAAATTTTCTTAAAAGAAATTGAATCTAAGAATCTTTAAGCCATGCCTTTACAACTAAGTTAATCTACATTGATGATAAATAATTCTCATTATGTGTATTAATATTAAATAATTATAAATTTAAACAAAAAAATATAAAATTTGTACCTAGGGTTGAAAATGAGTCTACTTGAGTTGAACTCGTTTGAGTTCGGCTCGACTTGATAACAATTAGTTTATATTGAAATTCGACTAGAATTTGATACAAACTTTTTTAAACTTAAACTCAACTCGTACTAAGTCCGCAAATAACTCAATTCAACTAGTTAGATTTATTTTTTTTAGGTTCAGCTCGTTTGATACACAAATTTATAAACCGATTTTTTTAAGTCTTATTTAATTTATATATTTGATATTTTAAATTAGGCAAAATACTCATTTTGATCCCTTAACTATAAGTCATGGTTCACTTTGGTCCCTTATTTTTTTTTGTGCCAAATTGGTCCCTTAAATTTCAAAACGCAACCACGTTAGTCCTTCCGTTAGTGAAACGTTAGTTAAATACAAAAAGCAGACTCCAGGTGGCATTTGTCATGCTTGAAGTGGCTTGTTGGAGGCAACGTGGCAGAGAATAAGGACAGACAATCTCCAAAAGCTCAAGATAGCATATGGATGTTCAATTTGTCCAAAATGAAAGCCAAAGGAAAGAGGAAGAGGCTTGCGAAGAGGCTTGTGAAGCTTGAGAAGGTGATTTCGAAGGTAATTGCTTTCCAGGTAACTGTTCTCATACTCGTTAGATATTGGTATTTAGGGATTTGGGGATTTAGGTATGTTATTCTTGTTTTGTCTTATAACTGAATATTTGTTATGGGATTTATGGGAGTTAGGTTTAATGGATGAATTTCTAAAACTCGTAATCCACCATAGTGGTGAGTTCGTTGATCCATAGCTTAGTGTCTATGAAGGAGGCCTGGTATCTGAATTGTCAGTAGATATTGATAGGTGGAGTTACTTCGAGTTAGTTGGTGTATTGAAAGACTTAGGTTATATGGACAATGTAGAGAAAATTTATTACAAAGACCCACAATTTGGGATGAATGAACTAATTGATGACAAAGGTGCCCTAGAAATTGCAGACTATACAGAGTGCACCATATTGTTCATGTTTACATTCAATACAATTTGTCTTAACCTGAGTATTGTGATGGTCCTGTTGAGGAGCCTGAGAACATTGTAGATGAGATGGAGGAGTTGCTTATCAGGCTGCATGATGACATTGAAGAAAAGTTAAAGGAGTCTATTGTTGGTGTGGATGAAGTTAATGATGGATTGAATGATCCAAGTGTTATTGTGGAACAAAGTAATGCTGGATTGAATGATGCAAATGTAGGGGTGGAAGAAACAAATGCTGAAGTGAAGCCAAATATTGATGGTCAGGCGCACGATGAATCTAATTCTAATGACAGTGAGGATGAGAGTTACCAGTATGATAGTGCCCTAGAAGTAGCCTTTGACGATGAATCTGATGGTTATGAGGACATTGATGAAAATGAAATTGCATACCTGACTGTGTATGACAGTAATGAAATATCAAAAGGAAAAGGAAAAGGAAAAGGAAAGTGCATCAAAGATACAAAGGAATATAAGAGAAGTGACAATGATAGTGAGGATCTTCAAAGTGGTTGTGACAATGATGCCAGTAGTGGGGTTAAAAGGAATAAATACCCAATTTTCAAAGAGATAAAAGATATGGCTAATAAAAAATGGGAATTAGGAATGTATTTTACTTCAAAGGATGATATTAAGGAAGAAATTGCCTCATATGCTGTTCGAAATGGAAGAGCCCTCAAGACCATAAAAAATGATAAGAAAAGGGTGAGGGTGAGATGTAAGGAAGGTTGTGAGTGGGAGGTTTATTTTGCCAATTTATTAAATGAGGAAACCTGTAAAATAAAGAAAGTAATTGACAGTCATAACTGCAGTAGGGAATATAATATGAGGATGTTAAGCACAAAGTGGTTGAGCAAGAGGATTCATAATGCATTGTAAAACAACCCTAGGTTGAAGGTCCAAGACATTAAAGAAAAGGCATTGAGGAAGTGGAATATAGGTGTAAACAAGACTAAAGCAATAAGAGCAAGATTGGCTGCAAGGAATAGGGTTGATGGTTCCTTTTAGGGTGATTACACTAGGATATATGACTATTGTCATGAACTGCTAAGAGCCTATCCATGGTTAATAGTTAAGATGAATGTTGAACCTGCTCTAGAAGGTGCTGATGATCAGAGGCCGTTTTTTAAAAGGCTTTACATATGCTATGAAGGATGCAAGGAAAGTTTCAAATTATGTAGGCATGTGATAGGATTGGATGGTTTCTTTTTGAAGGGGCTTTGTGGAGGTGAAATTCTGGAAGCTATAGGAAGGGATCCTAATGATCAGATGCTTCCTATAGCACTTGCAGTTGTTGAAGGTGAAAATAAAGATAGCTGGACATGGATTTTGAAGCTATTGATTGATGATCTGGGAGGTGGACATGAATGTCGCTCATACACTTTCATTTCAGACCAACAAAAGGTACACTAAATTCTTCACTGAATCTTTACATTTATCTGATTGTTTTCTTGATAATCTAATATTAGTTATGAATGTATTTTACAGGGACTGTTACATGCAATGGAAGAGTTGTTGCCCAATGTTGAACATTGATTTTGTGTTAGGCATCTGTATAACAATTTCAGGAAGAGGTATCCTGGAAAAACATTCAAGGATCTTATCTGGAAGGTTGCTAAATCTACATACTCACAAGCTTGAGAAAGAGAGATGAGGGCAATAATAACGATCAGTGGAGAGGCATATCTTCATATGATGAAGAATCTGTTGTACCCCAACTTTTTCCCCTAAGATTCCTCTATTATTTCATACCATCACAATGCAACAAGATCACACACTAGGGTTTGGTTCCTCTCCTTATATTTGGCTTTTCTCATGGGGAATCACCAAGTGTTGCACCTCAAAATTTACCCTCTTGATTTTAGAGTTTTTATTTGGCTTATATTTAACCTGCATATGCATGCATACATTGGTTCTATTGCTATAAGATCAAGGTATGCCAGTAAAGTATCAACTTTTTATCAGAAGCGTCAAAGGCTTTGTGCAGGCAATTCAATCAGGTGAGGAATAGTTTATCACCATGTTCTATTCCTGTGTATTTTCTCATGTCTTGGGAAATATAAGGGAACCAGAGGTTTTAATCTGATTCAGAATAATTCGGGTTAAAAATCTGTTTCGGTGCGTCAACTTCATAATTTTCTAATTGCGAGCCAGAGTACTATTTTATGCTGAAATTTGATCACCAAGTCCATGTTGATATTATCTTCACTTTTTGTATTTCGTTCCGAGAGCCAATTATGTGCAGATGGCGGTCAAATAATTTTATTACTGATTTTTCAGGTTACCGATCAACGGTGTTTCGGGCGTTCAGAAATCTCTAACTCCGATTTGATATACCATCTCGAAGTGGTTCTTTCTCCAATGAATCCATCTCAATGTCCTCTCCAACTTTCATGTTCGAGCCAAAAGTTAATTCTCGAAGGAAGGTCTTCGAATTCGCAAATCAGACAAAGTTGAATAGTGGAAAATACTGATAAACAGTTGGCTGAACCGTGTTTTCACTCACTAAAAAATTCATAACTCGAAGCCCGTGGCTTGTTTTTAAGCCGTTACGGTGGCCAAAATTTCATCTCTCCAGTTAAGACCATTGTCTGAGATCTCTTATACAAAATTTCTCCTTTCCCCAGTGGAGCTGCCTTCAGAAATCTTTTATTCAAAAATCCTCATCTCCCTTGTGAAGTTGCCTTATCAAGAAATCTCCTGTTCAGGAATTCTCATTTCTCCAATAGAGTCATTTCATCGAAATTACTTATTCACAGAATTCTCTCTTTTCCCAATAGATATGAATCCTGGATGTTGATAAGTGTTACTTCTCTAAAAGAGTGAGTTATTGTGATTGCTAGCCCCAGGATAGAGCATCATAGCAGGATTTCGTTCAAGTTGAAGCACATTCTCATTTCCTAGTGGAGCTGATGATCCTCATATTTCCAGCAGTAGCATATTTTGTTTAGTTTCTCATACAAAGAATGTCTTATTCCCGACAAGAGTTCTTTTTGTAAGGTCGCTTACCCCAACATGGATCTTCATATCCTTGGTAGTATAAGGGCTCTTTATCCCTAGTAATAGAGTATTGCTGAAATATTTCCTCGGTGGAGTTCTGAACCTCGAGCTTATGGTTCAAAGACACCCTCCTCTTACCCAAGTAAAGATTGGTACTCCTCAACGGTAGTATCTCCGGTGTGGTCTGGTTATAATTCTTTTGTTTAAGAATCTTCACATTTCCCTAGTCGAAACCGCTTTCATTGAGGACTTACATCAGAAGGTCCTAACATCCAACAAGGTTCTCTTTATCCGTGAAAGGAGATACTGGATCTTTTCCCCAGAAGGTTAAGATGTGGAACATAGGTCAAGATTTCTTCTGCACTGCAGTTTATTTTTGCAGTATTCTCCCCAGGAAGTTTTCCCCAGTGAGAAATTGACAAGTTATCAAACAAAAGTCAGGTGAATTTTTATTTCCCACAGACCCCATTTTATTAATG